TGTGGCAGAGGCTGGGGGTTGGATCACCTTGGTCCCAGGTGGAAGTTTTTCCGACTGGAGACAGGTGTGGCATTGTGTGGGCAGACTGCAGAAGAAACCACGATGAAGCGAATGGGGGTAGGATGGATGGGAGCAGGCTATGGCTGCAGGAGAGGGCCAGGCAGGCTTGGAGCTGACCCAGGAGGTGGCAGGATGAGGCTGGGGCATGGTGTACTGATGGAAGAGGCAGGGGATCATTGTGCCACCTGGAGCAAAGGGACTTGCCAGAAGGCTGTTTAGGATGAAAGGAGAAAAACAAGTTTGCATTTTTATCTTCTGTGGCATTTGAGGATGGGGAAGCCCCACCTGTAACTTGATTCTTAGCAACCCAAAATGCCACCTTCTTGATTTCATGATTGATTTTGTTTTTCTTTAGCACAAGATTGACGCTTTGGCTACTTGGTAAAGAGTGGAAGGAAGAAGTCTAGGTAGAGTCTCCTATTGGCATGAAATCCTTTGAGCATGGATCACCTCGTGGTTCTTTCCCCTTTCCCCTCCCACCACCCACCATTCCATCATTAATATTTAAGCAGTGCGTGCTGTGTACCAGACATTATGCTGGGAGAAGGGGTAAAGCAATAGGCAGAATGATCAGAAGCCATTCTCTTGTGGTGTTTGCAGTCTTTGGGTGTATGCAGGCGTTAAATAATTGCACAAATAATTATACAAGTATAGCCACATGAAGTGCAGTGAAGAGAACTAAAGAGTACTATGAGAGTATAAAACACACACATACCTATCTAATGTAGTAAGTGAGGTAGGAGAACCTTAGGCAGAGAAGAGGAACAGGGATGGTGGGGAAAGTGTACCTGGAGGAAACCTTGTATGTAGCGGCTTTAGAAAACCCAAAATAATATTGTCTTGAATAAAAGAAAAGTTCACATGTGTTTGATATGAAAAGAAGCAGTCCAGAGCTGATCTAACAGGTCCAGGTTCATCAAGGGCCCAGGCAACTTCTGTTTTATTGCTTTGACTGACTCAGGATGTTGCTTTCATCTTATGGCCCAATATGGCTGCTCTAGCTCTCCCCATCACATCTGTATTCCAGCTAACAGCAAGGAGGAAAGGGCAGAAAATCACATTTCATTCCTGTCAGCATATATTGCATATATCATCTCTGGTTATATCTTGTTAGCCAGAATTTGGTCGTATGGCCGTACCTAGCTGTATACATTAGCAGGACTTCCAGAATGAGGTTGAAAAGGAGTGGTGAGAGGGATAGCTTTGCCTTGTAACTGATCTTAATGAGAAACCTTCTAGTTTCTCACCATTAAGTATAATATGATGTTAGCTGTAGGTTTTTGTACATCTTTATCTGGTTGAGGAAATCCCCATTTATTTCTAGTTTGCTGAGGGGTTTTTTGTTGTTGTTTTGTTTTTTTAAATCATGAATGACTAATAGATTTGTCAAATGCTTTTTCTGCATCTATCAATATGATCATGTGATTTTTGTTCTTTTCTTCTTTAGCCAGTTGATCCAATGGATTACATCAGTTTTTTTGAATGTTGAACCAGACTTGCATACCTGGGATAAATCCTACTCGGTTGTGGCATGTAATTCTTTTTATACATTGTTGGATTTGATTTGCTAATATTTTGTTGAGGATTTTAGCATTTATGTTCATGAGAGATATTGGCCTGGAGTTTTCTTTTCTTGCAATGTCTTTGTCTGGTTTTGGTATTAAGGTCACGCTGACCTCATAGAAGGAATATTCCCCCTGCTTCTATCTTCTGAAAGCGATTGCAGAGAATTGCTTTGATTTTTTTCTTAAACATTGGTTGGTAGAATTCACCAGTGAACTCCTCTGGGCCCAACATTTTTAAATGAAAAACTTCACCATGTTGTCCTTGGAGGCAAGTCTGAGTCCGAGGCCTTGGGTGACTGGGACAGTTAAGTTTATTGATTTTATTTTCCTTTTCTTTTAAATGGGGATAATACTGCCTCCTCATGGTATTGGAAGGATATACAGTACCTAGCTAGCACTGCTCAGCCCATAGTGAGCACTTATAAATGAGAGCAATCCTATTTTATTATTTAATACTAGACCAGAATGACATTATGTGTTGAACTGTTGAGCTCACCATTTCTTATATACTCTTGGGGGTGGAGGTGGATAATTCCTGATTTTTTGGGTCTGTTTGGCTTAAAAATAGCTTAATCATATGTTGGAAGGTTTTTCTGTTTTAAACATGGAGAAAAAAATTTCAATAAGGAACCTCAAAAACAAAATACCTCTCTAGTGTGTTCGATGGACGGGGATACTCTATGCTGAGTATGTTTTAAAATTGACCCCAGTGGCTCTCTGTAAAGAGCAGCTATCCAGTCACTTGATCAGAATATGCCTGTGCATTGCTTTCTTCTTCCTTTGACCTTGGACTGACTTGTATAAGCCATGGCTGGTGCTGCAGCCCATAAAGTGGGGGTCTGCCTGTTCTGGACTGTAACAAGACAGAGCATAGATTCTAGGCTCGTCCTCAGCACTGGGGACGTCCCCTCTCTGCTTCCCTCCCTCTTTGTGTGAGACCTTATCCTCTGATTTATTTTCAGTGAGTGTTCGCTCCCACCCTATTGTGGAGATGAGCAGTGTGCTGATTGAAGGAGAGCCCTGATGGGTAATGCTGGCATGGTCAGGAGGAGGACAAGGCAAACAGATTGCAAGCCTTTTTGCAGATGTGTTTTGGGTAGAACTACAGCCCAGTCAAAGCTTTGCACATATACACAAAAATGGAACTGAGAAGTATTTTTTATATGTGCTTGATTTGTGATAATGGCAAATTCATGGCAGGAGGCTATGAAACCAATTCAGAAGGGTTTTCCAGTGTGAGTAGTGATAGCCACTGTGTGTCCCCAGAGTTGAGTAGGAGTAGGAGCTTTCTCTGGTGCTCTGGGGTGTGAAATACACCAGCTATCCCACCATGGCTGGTGAAGACAGGAGGGGGAGCAGCATGGGGAAGGCTCACCTGCTCATACTGTTTGTCCTGTAAGGGGGACTTCAGGGAATTGTAGGTTCAGTACCTTCTGCCTTTGCTGCCGTGACACCTTTCTTCACTACCTATCTTAGAAAGCAGCTGGGCACAGAACAGTAATAGAAAGGGCAGCAGTGATTATTTGAGAAGGTACATACTTCATTTCAGACCAGATAACTATTATCAGCCTAGATAATTTCCATGAGTTCTGAAATAGAATTGGCACACACACCAGCCAGGGTGTCTGCTTATGGGCAAACAGTGGGGGTGTAGGACAGCCAGGTTCTGAAGTACATTTGTGTTCAGACCAGAACTTCAATCCTAGAGAGTGTCTTTATTATGTAGAAGTCAGGATGAACTAATGGGAGTGCACTCAGGTTTTTTATCGGGTTCCATTTGGAAGACTGAGGTTTAGTGGACTCTGTATATTCAAGTCCCAGTCTTCCCAGCTATCAAATTGGGTGGTGGTGGTGGGGGGAAGGTTACACCAAGCTCATAGAGGTATGTAAGGCTTAAGTATCAAAGGTTCCTCTTTCTCCTAGTATGTCTTTCCATAAACCTAGCCAATGTGAAATGTGTGTACCTCACATCATTGTAGCAATCTGTTTCCCATATCAGTTCCTTACAGCCAAATCCAAGTCCCTGGAATGATGCCCTAATCACAGAAGAGGCAATTTTTGTTTTAAGCTCAGTGATTATTTAACAAATGTTTTTTTGAGCCAGGCACTGTCATGGGTGCCAAGGATACAAAGATGAGTAACCCACAGCCATCAGGGAGGTCACACTGGCCTGGCAAAGACAGGTGTATAAACTGGTGGTTATAGTATGGAAAATGAAACAGCGGAGATGGGCAGAGAGATTCTAAGAGGACAGAGAATAGACAGTTTGGGATGTTGTGGGGGTGGAGTTAGAGTGGAAGAGGAATTTGGGCAAAGGGAACAAGCTTGGAGTTGAGAAACATCATGGCATGTTTGGAGACCATTAAGCCAACTGGTGTTGCTGGAGGGGGGAGGCGTGGGGCTGGAGAGATAGGAATGGACTAGGTTAAGAAAAGCCTTGGGTGCCAGGTTAAGGAGCTCAGGCTTTATTCATAAGGCCAGCAGTTCTCCAGGGACAGGACATGCTTGCGAGATTGGAGGGGCAGGTTTTTGCATTTGGAATAACCATTGAGTCGAGCACCCCTGGGTTAGGTGGGCAATACTTATATGGAAGGTGGCCTCGAGAGCATGACACCTGAGGCTTCTTTTAGGAAGATCTGCAGTTGTCTGGGGACAGAGACAATGAGGGCTACAGGAGGTAAAGATGGGGAGTAATGGATGGATTTAGGGTTTAAGGTCTGATTGATTAGAGAAAGCGTGAACGAAGAAGTAAGAGCCACGTATGACCAGGATTCTACTCTTTCTATTTGAGGCTTTGCTCACATCCTACCTCTTTTGGAAGGATTTTTTTGGACTCCTGGCCCAAACTTTACAAGTTTGGCCCGATTTCTTCCACTCATTGCATCCTTACTTTTTGTTTGAAGTTTATTTTACTTTCCCTAAACAGGGGAAGCAATTAAAAAGTAGGAACTGCATCTTACACTTTTTTGGGGGTACAATTTTAGGTGCTTAATATTATTTATGCATAATATTGTTGGGACTTTGGGCAATTTATTTCATTTATCTCAGGCTTTCTTCTAAGAGAGGAAGGAAGAATTGAACACAGATGTCAAGTGGGAGGTTTCCTCCATCCAGAGGAATATGTTCATGACTTGTACATCTAAAAGGGAATGTAAATAATTAGATACACATTCAAATCATCCAAAAGGAATTTAAGAGATTGGGGTTTTAGAAGAATGGGCCAGCTTTTTTGCCATTTAGTTCTGCAGACAACTTACCTGGAAAGACTCCTCTCTGGTGGGCTAGCAGTAGCTTGACCATCTGGAACAGTTAATTTAATTGTGGCACCATTGATTGTGGTTTCTGAGGGGTTTGCGTTTGTGATTCCCTCTGCAGGTCCAGAGCCCAGCACCCAGTGTGAACTGTCGCCCGTCAATGCCTCCCATCCGGTCCAGGCCTTAATGGAGAGCTTCACCGTCTTGTCGGGCTGTGCCAGCAGAGGCACGACGGGGCTGCTGCAGGAGGTGCACGTCCTGAACCTCCGTACCGCTGACCAGGGTCCTGGCCAGCCACCGAGACAGGTAGGCACAGGTGCCAACTTTCTACCCATTGCCCCTCGAAGTTTGTAAAGAGACTTTTCTGAATGAAGAGTCTTTTTTTTTTCCCCATTCTGAGTCTAATAAGGATGCTCATGTATGAATGTACGTGCTGGGAAGAGGACACACCATACACTCGACAGAGAAGGATTTCAAATAACAGATTTCTCTCTGGTCTGGGCAACTCTAGGACTTCTCTCTCGAGATGTTGTGGCTTTTTAACTTTCCTGGCCCCCATATTGGAAAGAATGTTCTTAAGAGTTTCATCTTTTAGACATGGCCGTGAAAAAACAAAATTAGGTGCCATTTCTCTGTAATTGTAAAATGTCTTTCCCATCTCTTCCTGTGCCCTGTCTTTCTTCTTTGCTCCTGCAAGCTGAGTCGGGGAATGGGAGCACTCTGGAATGAAGAGGGCAATGTTTTGTACTTGCACGAAAACCCCTGGGGGTAGCTCCTTATGCTGTCCAGGCAGCTTCTTGAAGATAGTGGTGGTCTTGGTGGGGATGATAATAGTGACTCGGTATTTACTCTGTCCTCACCACTGTTGGAAGCACTTATATATTTACTCCACGAAGTCCCATTATTATCCTCATTTTACAGGTGACAGACAGGTGCAGAGATAACTTACTTGTTCAAGGTCAAGTGAATTAAGAGAATCAGTTATTATAAAACTGACCTTAAGAGAGAAATGGCTTCTTTCCTGTGGCTCAGAAATGACCTAGATTGTAGGCGAATGGTCATCATCCTTTTTAAAAGATGACACGCAGTTGTCATTCTTTCTGTTTCTAAGCTTCTGTATGTCAGAAATGTTATCACTCAAGTATTATCTCTCCAGGGAGAGAGAAACCACAACAAATTTCCAATCATAGTGAAGTGTACAAAAACCGATGCAGAACGGAATTTATCTTTGAGCTTTCTTCTAGTCAAGAAAGTTAATTTCCAGAATCATTTGTTTATGTGCCTCAACCACTCTGCCTTTTTGGGGGGAGTAGAAATAGGAGAGACAAGGTGTCCAGAAGGAAAAGCAAACTGATTTTAGTTTTGCGAAAGTGTGCAGAGTTGGCTCATTTCAAAGACAAATCATCTAACCTTTCCAGCTACACTGGAAATTATTGTTAATAGTCTTGGTTGCTTGCCATGGTAGCTGCAACACATATTTCAGGTCAGATTTCTTTATCCCAGTAATATGTCTTTAATTCTTAACTTATGGGGGAGAATTTATGGTGGGAGGGAAAGGAGAAGAGGAGGAAATGCAGTTCCTATGAAGCGTTGCTGACTCCAGCAATTCTTGAGCAGCAGTAATTACTCATTTTATATATGCTTCTCAGAGGAACCAAGAAAGAAAAGAAAGTTCGAGCTCTCACAGAAGCAGCAACAGCAGCAAATTCTGGATGTTAAATTGTGCGGTACCGTTGTTGACTCTGAAAACAAAATCAAATAAGACCATTGGACAGCAGAGCTCTCCCACATTTGTATTTACTATGTTAGATCAAAATGGAATTCATTGTAGGACATGGCAGTACTGAAGATACGTAAAATGAGCTGGCATCAGGGAACATAGCGTGTTCACTGAGGGGTAAAGCAAGGGCCTGTGGAGGGTAGTGTCTACAACTTCTTTCAAAACCTGACCATTCTTCTTCTTTCTTCAGTATTTGTATAGTATGTATATGATTTTGAGTTAATGATTTGAAGATACGGCTGAGACTAGGCAGCTGATGGAAATTGCATTCTTTCCTTCTTTGGGGACTTTTAAGAATTAGATGATTGGGCCGGCTGAGTGGCGCGATGGTTAAGAACTGGCTTGGGACACCAGAGGGCCCCGGTTTGGATCCCACATATGAGGGTCAGTGACACTGCCCTCCACAGCTAAGATGCTGAACAACAGCTCAACCTGGAGCTGGGCT